GATCATTATTTTGAATTACTTTTTAGTCATTTTATAGGCTTCCTTTTGTGGGGGTCTGTTATTGGAAAATTATTGTGTTCTTTGGAGGTGTCACGTTGCCTTGATTTTCACGTTTCATGTGTTCATACATTGATATCTGCAAATTGCGTAGAACTGTTACCCCTTCCAGTTTTATGGATAGAAAGACTTACATAGGGAAAGACTCTTTACTACTAGTGTGTCCTATAGTGTCATCTGGGTAGGGTAATTTGGCTTTTGTTCTGGGTAGGTACAGTAGTGTAGTCTCCAGGTGATTTCTTTGGCAGTAATCATTGTCAGCTGTGTTTGTGAGTGCCTCCGAGGCCTAGACTGCAGTTGTTATTTGAGGCAGTAGCACAGCTTTGCTGGGTGGGGGCTGCCTGGCAGCCTGACTCTCAACCTCTAGGCTGGTGCATGCCAGGTGAAGTAGCTCTGCTGATCACGGGGGAAGCATATCTGGTGGTAGTGGGTGCCAGGCAGGCTGGCCCTTGGTTCTTGGTGAATGTGTACAGTCCGCAGCAGTTCTGGTAGTTTAGGAGTGAGGTAGTTTCCTTATACAAGGAGTCTGTGGGGGAAATGTGATTCTCTACTATATGATGCTGTCATATATTTAGTGTAACAATTTTTTTTAATGTTTAGAGTATTGTGTTTTATTTATCTCATCTACTGAAGTTCAAGCAAGCATGAAAAAGAAACACCTTTCAAATGAATAGCCTGAAATACTTTTAAACAGCTAAAATTCCAGCTGTTAATGCAATAAAAGATAACTTACACAACTGTGTAATAGAGTATCAGTATAAACATAGATAAATAACACAATGAAGAAGTGCTTGTTTTATATTGCTCCAGAGGTTCCTTAAAATGAGAAAGATTTCTCTAATAATTCAAACTCTTCAGTTTAGTTTGGAAAATATTCTGAAAGGGCACTGTGCTCTAGACCTCATGGGGGTATCAATTTTCTAGGACTGCTATAACAAGCTACCACAAACTGGATGGCTTAATAAAGCAGAAATTTATTTTCTCACAGTTTTAGAGGCTAGAAGTCTAAGATGAACGTATTGGCGGGCCATGGAGAGAATCTATTGCATTTCTCTAAGCTTCTGGTAGTGCTGGCAATCCTTGGCATTCTTTATCTTGAAGATGTATCACTCTACTCTTGGCATCTGCATCTGGGACCTGGTATTCTCCCTCTGTTTTCATCTCTTATCTTTTTATAAGGACATCGGTCATAGTGGATTGACGGTCCCACCTATTCCAGTCATATTCTGAGGTTCTAAGAAGGACATGGAATTTTGGAGGGACACTATTCAACTCAATACCTGGGATTTCTTAAACGAATTATAAATGGTGTCTGTCTTTAGGAACATATAGTTGGTGAAATGGGCAGAGGAAACTAATGTCAGGTAGTATGTACAAGTGGTAATAGATATAGAATACTGTGGGAATGTGGAGGAGTCAGTGGCTAGTTGTGACTATAGAGCAGTTATGGAAGGCTTCAGGGTATAGTGGGTAACAAGCCTAAAGAATAACTAGTACACAGAAACAGAAATTTGGGGGATCCTTGACTGAAGGACCAGTCTGAGTAGATAGAGTGTTATAATTGTGCACCTACTATGTGGGATGTGTGGGACATCTAGAGTGTATGTCTAAGAGGATGTCATGGCTTTTGAGTAGTAATTGCATGTATTGTGGTGGCCACTGGGAGGGGATGGAAAAGGGAAGACAGATGAAATGAGGAGATAGGAAAGGTGATGTGACCCCTGCTGTTTATTTCCATGAATAACTGGAGTGGATCTTTAGAGGTAGTCGTAGTAGCAGAAGTCAAGGATAGGTTTGCTAAAGTCAGAGGAATTAGACTAGGCAATTTTTTTTCTCTGTACGTCAATGGATGGAAAGGTCTGTCAGGGGTCCTCAAACTTTTTAAACAGGGGGCCAGTTCACTGTCCCTCAGACTGTTGGAGGGCTGGGCTGCGGGCCCCAGGATGAGTCAGCTACTAAGCAGGACAGGCAGCGGTGGTAAAAACACCTGGTGGGCCAGATAAATGTCCTAGGCAGGCCGTATGTGGCTCACCGGCCATAGTTTGAGGACGCCTGGCTCTAGGTGAATTTTGTGCTTCTTTTTAGGTCTTCTGTTCTGTGATTTTTAGGTAGAAATATCTTTTTGCTAATTGTATTTTGCATCTCTTGCTAGTTACTATACTTTTTATTCCTCCTTCCCTTCTTCTTATTGAGTACCTTCCATATTCTAGGCATTGGAGATATAATAATGAACAAGGAGACAAAATGTCATTTTAATCTCATTCCTATAGCACTAGCACAAGGTGTGCATAGTAGGCTCTCTATAAATGTTGCTTTGAGTTGAGTATGAGTGAGGAAAAGTTACAAGGCACTTGTGCCCTGGGCAGTAAGTTCTGCTTCAGAGTAGAGCTGCTTTGAAAGATGATTTCAGGGACCTCCATATGAGGAGGTGGAGAGTAGGTGGCTGCTTAAATGATGTGTGATTTCTGAGTCATCAAAAAGGCTCTTTTGCCTCCTAAAATACCTTCTTTATGCAGGCTGTAGGTGCTTTTAATTCCACTATTGGCAGTTGTTTTCCTAAGGTTTTCTTCTCTGCTAGAATGTGAATGCCCTATGGAGAGAGGATATCCATTTATCCTCACTAGCTTTTCGCCCGCTGATATATGAAACATTTTCTCAGTCCTTTCTGCATAGCAAATTTTTTTGTTTAGAACAGCACAGAGAGGGAAAGGAGATCCAGGGGAGGAATACTGGATATACCAACAGTAAACTTTATCAGATTTAACAGTTTGGATGAGATTGGTTCTGGGGATATGGTCCCTCGGTCTAGAAAAATCCTTTATTATTCTGGTACCCATAGTATTCACAATTATGCTTGTGTATGTTGGGCAAGAAATGTTACTGTTGTAAGTTTTATGGCTATGAAATTGTTATTTTGTTTTTCAAAGGGCCATAAGTCTCACCTCTCCCACTCTCACCACAAAAATAATTTGTGTGACAACCTGATTTGTGGTCTGTATTGCCAAGGCTATGCTACATATAGTTTATGTGTTCTGAGGGCTCTGTATTTGTCAGGATAGGCTAATGCTACCTTCTGTGATGAATATCCTCCAAGTTTCAATGGCTTATATCAGAGGGGGAAAGGGGTGTTCTTGTAGTCCTTCAGGGATCCAGGTTAATACATGGCCGCAAGATCTCACTAGCTGAATCTGGAAGGCATTCTAGGGGAGGAAGAAGCAGGTTTAACTGCCTTGGACTGGAAGTGACACACATTTCACTTCATGTTCCATTGGCAAGAACTAGTCCCAGGGACCCAACCAGATGGAGGGAAATGGAAAAATAGAGTTTAGTCATATATTCAAGAAAAGGAAACAGCCTTGCTGAGTCTGACATAGCCTTATCAGAAAGCATTTATATATTTTCATTCTGTCTGTGACATAACTTGACCCTTGGGGTATTGTCATTAAGGGGTCAGTGGACAAGGGAGAATAGCAGTGACCTAGAAACTTTGTAGTGTGTTTAGATAGTGAAAAGCCACTCAATGTACTTGGTGAAGGACATCTTTCTTCCTTGGATTTTTGCTGTATGGAGGAGGACAATGTCTTGCTTCAAAGGCACGTCTCTGTTTTGTTTGCTTGTTCATTTGCTTTTTAATGGAAATAGTAAAAGCTAATGGAAATATCCCTTGCATGTATCTTGTAGTCATCTTAGAATAGGAGTTTTGGGGGTTTAAACACTATGACTTTTGTAATGTGTTTTAATTCTCTTTGGCAATAAGAGTATGTTAAGGTTTGGAGAAGATTTAGATGTCCTTAATCCACCTCTCTCATTGTCTAAAGAAGGAAATCAAGAAGTAACTGAATTCTCCAAATTTACAGCAAGTTAATGGCTAATGTGGGTCTCGCCTGCATTGTCCAGATTTCTACTCTAGTGTTCTTTTCACACCACAACGTTATTCTCGAGAACAACCATTTGGTGAATAGGCCTGGCCTGACAGAAACAGTGGGCACCAGCCAGAAGGGTAGATTCTTGATCAGATGAAATCAGGAGGTTCCTTTTAGCTCTCAGGTTCCTTGACTGATCAGTTCTTTGACTGATAGTGTTTAAATCGATGGCGTATAATTGATAGAAGCCTTTCAAGAATTTATAACATCCCTTAGAAAATGGAGTCTTATTTCTTTATTCTTTTCAGCTATTTTTAAAATTCATTTTTAGTTTTTTCAGCTTTCTATTTATATGTATATTTAAATTAGAAAAGTAATAATCATAATTATAGAAATTAAGTAAATATATATATGAAAGTATATACAGATGTAACACAAAATTTTCTGTAATTTCATAACTTGATGATGCAGCAATAATTACTATTAATGTTTTGATGTGTTCCTAACCATTTTCTGAAACATACATATTTGCATACTTATGTATAATATAGTTGTAATGTAATGTTTTACAATGTTTTATAATCTAATATGAAATATTATGCAATCCTTAAAATATTCATATTATGTAAACCTTAAAAGTTGTTTTAAAGTAAGTTATGATATAGAAAGGTACTCATGTATGTCTGTTTACTTATGAAAATATAATTCTATTTGTTTTATTTGTTTGCTTGTTTTTTGATTTTTTTTTTTGGAGACATAGTCTCACTATGTCCCCTTGGTAGAGAGCTGTGGTGTTGTAGCTCACAGCAACTTCAAACTCTTGGGTTTGAGCAATCCTCTTGCCTCAGCCTTCCAGGTAGCTGGGACTACAGGCATTTTTTTGATTTTCAATGAAAGTAGGAAAATGCTAATAGAAGTCTCCATTCCATACATCTTGGAATATAATTCTAATTTTTTAAAGGTTGCATAATATTGCATCTCATGAGAATATACTGTGTCTTAAATAATGGCTCAGGTGGGGAGGAGGATAAGAAGTATATTCGGTTCTTTGGCCTTGACATTGTGTTCCTCTTCTCCTAGGGAATTAGCAGCCTGTTCAGTTCTCTGAAAGTTGTCCGGCTGCTCCGTCTTGGGCGAGTGGCCCGAAAGCTGGACCACTACATTGAATATGGAGCTGCTGTGCTGGTTCTGCTGGTGTGTGTGTTTGGGTTGGCTGCACACTGGATGGCCTGCATCTGGTACAGCATTGGGGACTATGAGATCTTTGACGAGGACACCAAGACAATTCGCAACAACAGCTGGCTCTACCAACTGGCTATGGACATTGGCACCCCTTACCAATTTAATGGTTCTGGCTCAGGGAAGTGGGAAGGTGGTCCCAGCAAGAATTCTGTCTACATCTCCTCATTGTATTTCACTATGACCAGCCTCACCAGTGTGGGCTTTGGGAATATTGCCCCATCCACAGACATCGAGAAGATCTTTGCAGTGGCCATCATGATGATTGGCTGTAAGTATGACAGTGCTGTGTTAAGGTGGTAGGGACATACTGTTTGGCCATCCCTTCAGCTAGCTAGCAATAGGGAAATGGGTATTGTGCCAGCTGGATCAGGGGTATAATAAGCAAGGGACAAAAATATATATATATATTTTGAGACAGAGTCTCAAGCTGTGGCCCTGGGTAGAGTGCATGGCATCACAGCTCACAGCAACTATAAATTCTTGGGCTTAAGTGGTAATCTTGCCCCAGCCTCCCAAGTACTTGGGACTATAGGCATCCGCCACAATGTCCAGCTATTTGTTGTTGCAGTTGTCATTGTTGTTTTAGCAGGCCTGGGCCAGGTTTGAACCTGCTAGCCTTGGTGTTTGTGGCTGGCGCCCTGCCCACTGAGCTATGGGTGCCACCAAAAATAATTATTTTAAAGATTAGGTTTACAGTTATTCTGATGAGGCAGTACATGCTCACTGCAAAAATATTTAGAAAATATAAACAAATACAATGTAGGAAATAAAGACTGTCCGTAATCCTACCTATTAGAGGTAACTGCTATGACCTTTGGTATCTTTCCTTACAGTCTATTTTCTATATGTATCTGAGCACACAGATACAGATTTTTATAAAGTTAAAATTTGATAAACTGCCCATAGAACAGTGAATTATGGAAGTCTTTCTGTGTTAATTTTTTTCTTTTTAATAAAAGTTGTATATACTTACGGTGTTCACACAATGTGTTGATATACTGTACATACTCATAGTGAGATGATTAGAGTTAAGCAAATTAAAATATCCATCTCTTCACAGTTACCTTTTTCTTTTTGGCAAGAGCACTTCAAATCTACTCTTCTAGCAAATTTCTTGGATATGTTACAGTATTATTAACTATAGTCATCATGCTAAAGATCAATTTAAACATAGTTCTAAATCAGCACAGCCCAATACCCTGTAAGGAAAAAAAGTATGAAAAGTGAATGTAAAGCATCTCATTAGTTATCTGCTATATTGATTATATGTTGAAATAATAATATTTTAGATGTACTGGGTTAAATAAGATATTACAATTTAATCTGTGTTTTTCCTTTTAAATGCAGCTCCTAGGACAATTAAATCTTATTTCTATTGGAGAGTGTGGGTCAAGATCAACAATTTTGATGTTTTTGCTTGATGGTTGAAAACTTTTCTAACTCAAAAAGAAAGAAAAAAGAAAGAAAAACTCCAAACAGAAAAGAAAGTCACTTGTTCAGTTGAGAAGTAATATGTTATTGGAATAACTGGACTACTTTGAAAAACAACCCTAGTTCTTGAGGAAGATACTTAAATCTTAATTATTTGCTCACTAACCATTGTGTAGTCATTCCTATTGTTGAGTCTAGAACCTTTGGCTGCAAACAACAATTAACCCCCTTTATTAAAGGGAGAGTTAAGTGGAAGTGGACCTGATTGAGTGGGGAAAGAAAGTGAATGTATTATGTGGACTAGGTTCATTGTGCACCTGCCAAATGCACCCTGTTAGAACTTTGATGACAAATTAACTTAAGAGAGAACAGTTCTCTGTTGAAGTGAGAGTTTGGTCAATGGTCTGGTTGCTTAGGAGGGCTCTTGGGCTCTGTTTCCACAAGCAGAAACCTTTTTGCTTGATGTGCTCCTCAGGGTGCAGTTGATGAATTAACTGCTGCCCCAACCAGGGACACTTGAGGCTTCAGCTTGCTTTGCTTTGTCCAGCTGACCAGAGCTGGAGCATCTCACTCTGTGGGTGGAGTTTGTTACCCCAGAGTGTCACATTTGCTGCTTCCTGGCTCTTTTTATGCAACTACCTCAGCATAGCTGATGCAGTCCTTTCATAAAAGCCCTCTCTGCAGGCAGTTTGTCTGAGAGTATTTACAGATTGTGTCTAAGGGGGTAATTGATTTGTGGAAAGCGTGTGCCAATGGAGCTTTTGGGTTTGCTCCTTACTTTAAAATGGGTTTTAATAGAAATGATTGCATGGCCCTGGGAAGCAGCCTTAAGGATCTGTGGGTGGCTAATTGCTTCAGCTTAATTAGAACTTGAGGTGCTTTCTCATGGCATGGAAAAGGATTTCAGACCTTTGCTCTTCGAAAACTGTTTTAGCATTAATGGCATCTATTTCTATATTAATGGCAGTGGTTGCAGTATTTTTGTGAGCCTTGGGGCACCCAGTAAATACCAGATGCACTGTACTTAGGACACAATTTGATTTCTTTCCCTTACAGGGGAGATGAGACACTTTGTCAATCTAAATATCTCATTATATCCATTACAGAGAAATTTGCTAAGACTGGTCAGTTAGAAAATGGGCTACATTTCACGGGCTCCCCAAGGACTTTCAAATATGAGGAGATTTCCCTGCAACTTCTTAACTGGGAGGAAAGAAAACAGTTCTGGTGGCATATAATAAGGATAAGCAGTTTGTTTTTTTCCCACAACCATTCTTTTATAGAGAACATAATTTCCTGGGTAGAGTCTCCAGGGAAAACCTCAATTATTGCCACCTCTTTTTTCTCCCCACCTTCTCAGAGTGGTGATGTTTCTATTTCTTTAAAAAAAAAAAAAAGGTATAATACGTGAGTAGTCACCTTTAAATTATGCAGCCAGCTATGGTGTTTAGTCAATCAGTCTATTTAATATCATTCCCTGAACACTTGCTATTTTCCAAGCACTATGCTAACTAAGTACACTACACACAATTTCTACTGCTCATGGCAACTGTATACTTTAAAGATTATTTTTCTCCATTTCATAAGGAAATGGAGGCTCAGGGAAGTTAACTCACTTTCCCAAGAACGTGGAGAAGCAGGATTCAGATTCAGGCCCTCTCCCGGTATGGCATTGTCTAACAACACAGACTTCCACAGTCTCTCCACATCTCTATACACTGACACATTGAAAATTCTCTCCATAAACTTTAATAAGTCAGCAGTTTCTCTAGTGGAAACTTTGTTGGTTGGTTGTTGTCATTTTAATTTAAGAGCAGCACTGTGGTACAGACTCACAGGACCAGTTGCTTAGGAAACGAGCTATTTTTCAGCAACCTGTCACTTATCATTACAGCTGTTCCACTCTGTGTGAGACACGTCTGACAATTTCTGGACTAACGGGAAAGTTACTGCACTCTGTGTAATGTGTTAGTAATTATCCTTGTAAACTCACATTCCGCACAACCTTTGTTCAGGACAGTTGCTGATGTCCTATTAGATTTATAGGGTTCTCGTTTACCTTGCTGTGCCTGTTTGTACACATGTGCACACTTACCTCCTTCCAGTATCACTCACAGGATTGGACTGACACCAGAATTAAGATCTACAGTGATGGGAAGTATTGATCATAGCCTGGATTGATGCCGAGGGCTTGATGCTACCTTCCTTTCAGGTCACTCTGGCAGTCAGGCCTAGCATTCCTTAAGGGGATGAAAAGAGACAGAAAGCCAGTGAGCTTTTGAAATACTGGGTACGTTGCAATTTTGTTCCTTTTTGCATTGAATTTTATGTGCCTTGGTAATATTTCTTGCCTTTTCTGTTGTAGTATGTTAACCATAACTTAAGTGGAACAGAAAGTCCTTCTGCTCTCCGATCTCTTCTCTGAACATGTCATTACAGCTTTACTAATTCCCCAGAGGATGCAAGGTAGCAAGAAAACTAAATATTTTCAAGTTAGCCTACCTTTCTCAGTTCTGATTTAAAAAAAAAAAATTGCATTAGGAAAGGTGAAAACTATTGGGTAAAATGTGGTTTTGTGATTAGCTCTGGGTTTAGGAGATATATGGTGTCCCTGACAGCCTGGTTTTATGTATTATTTCTATTCTGGAAGTCTTGGCCTGGAGCAGGGAAAAGGCAGGCCCTGCCCTGATATCCCTGCCCACCTTGTGTGAGTCAGGCGTGGTCTCCAGCAAGGACTCACCGTGAGGTGTGGTGAATAGACTCACTTTTTTGCACATGTCTCCCCTGTGTGTTGGTGATGCTAAAAGAAGAACAGGCCTCTCTGTGACAGGTCCAGGTCCTCTGGAAAGGACCTCCCCAGAAACATACTGCCTTCCCCAACAGGTACTGTATAGGTGCTAAGGATTCAAAGACTATTGCCATGGGCAGCACCCACAGCACAGTGGTTACAGCGCCAGCCACATACACCGAGGCTGACAGGTTTGAACCAAGCCCGGGCCAGCTAAACAACAATGACAACTGCAACAAAAAATCACCAGGTGTTGTGGCAGGCACCTGTAGTCCCAGCTACTGAGGACTGAGGCAAGCGAATTACTTAAGCCCAGGAGTTGGAGGTTGTTGTGAGCAGTGATGCCATGGCACTCTACCAAGGGCAACACAGTGAGACTGTCTCAAGGAAAAAAAAAAAACAAGACTACTGGTTGGTGCTCTCAAGGAGTCGACAGTCTGGTGGTGGTGGAGGAAGGTAGGAAGAGGACAGAGATAGGCTTTATCGGCCAAACACACAGTGACAAAGGCCTGGAGATGGAGTTTTCACTGTGGCTAAGCCTTGCTCTGGTGTCTAAGGGATCTTCAGTTGTCAAGGGAAGAGCCTCTTTATCTGGGCGGTCTCATTCTCAGTTTAGGGACATGACCCTGTCTGAGGAAGATCTCCAGGGAGAATTTGGTAAAGAGACAATTTCCATTTTCTAAATATGGGCTTTGAGCTTCTCTGATTCTCTCCTTATAATGTCATTACTGTCATCCTGTCATTATAAGTCAGCCACATCCATTTCCTTTCTCTCTGATAATGGCAGGGGGTCCAGACATCACACTCCCCCAGACGCTCTCCACCCCCAAGCCTGACATTTGGTCTCCTGCCTCAGCACTGCACACCTATTTCTTTGAATTCATTCCTGTCTTCCTAGTCCTCCTCCATTTCAAATCCTTAAAACCCTAGCTGAGGGGCAGTGCCTGTGGCTCAGAGGAGTAAGGCGCTGGCCCCATATGCCGGAGGTGGTGGGTTCAAACCCAGCCCTGGCCAAAAACTGCTAAAACCCCCAAAAAACCAAAACCAAA